GAAGAAAAGAAAACATGCCCAAATATAATCATACAGAAGTGATTTTTTTTTGGTTGCTGCTGTCTTACTTCGACTTTGGAAACATCAGCTCAGGGCATCGAATCGAGCCTTTGTGAGGCGAATTCCCCAGCACACGGGCATAACACAGCAGCCAGTGACTGCCTGGGGCTGCATACTTGATTTGCGAGGCACAAGAAAAGCTGAAACGAGCGGATAAAGTGCCTATCCTGTTGTGAAAACAGAAAGTGAATTAGAGATGGAGGCGTTTATGTCCTATGAAGTCTAACAGCCACTTAAAGTGGATGCTATTATTTAAGCAGACAGGGCTTGTGGCTAATGACCGCTGCTCAGCTCCCTGCTTGGCAGCTGGCAGTTTAAAAAGGCAGCAGAGAACAGTCCTGCTTGGTGACGGGGTTGTCCAGGCTGTCACCAGGGGGCTGAGGGCTCAGATGGCCTCTGGGAGACCGTGGGCAACCGGACGTAGCCCATGGTTAGAAATCAGGTCTAAGTAGGGAATATGAAAGAATATGAAAGATGACAGCAGCCAGTGCTCTTCCAAGAGCTGGTTGGCGTGCTGGAGATGGCTGGTGACAGTGTGATTTATAATACATGCATATTGGGTCTTTGTCCAGAGCTCCGCTCACAGCTCCCCAAATCCTTCGAATTTCCTGAGTGTTAAGAGCAATGGGAATATCTTTTGTTAGAGGGTTGGGTCACTGGTCCTCAGTTTCTGAAATCAATTCAGAGCCACAAATGTGAAATGGGTATCTTGTTATTCATGACAAGCCTCTTCCCACCACCACTGGGTTTATATTAATGAGGGTATGGGGGCTGGTTGCCAAGGGAACCAACTAGGAATAGAGGGTGGGAACTTTCAGTTCCATCACCTGATTTCCAGGAAGTGGGGATCAGTCACTGAATGGCCAATAATTTAATCAGTCCTCCAGGGTAATGGAGCCTCCAGAAAACCCCCAAAGCCTAAGGTTTGCAGAACTTCTGGGTGGTGAACTATTTCACATCCACGCGCCAGGGCCCAAATCCCCAGGGCCAGAAGCGTCTGTGTTCCAGATCCTTGCAGACTTTGTCTTATGTATCCTTCATCTGGCTGTTCATTCATATCTTTAGTATCCTTTGTAATATACCAGTAATCCAGAAAAATCCTGAGTTCTGTGAGCAAATTAACTGAACCCCAGGAGGGGGTCGTGGGAACTTCAGATCTGTAGCTGGTCGGTCAGAAGCACAGGTAACAACTGGACTTGCGATTGGCACCAGAAGTGGGGGCGGTCTTGTGGGAGTGAGCACTTGACCTGCGGGACCTGAGGCTACCTCTGGGCAGATCATATCTGAACTGAGTTAAAGCTGTGGACCGCTCAGGTCGGTGTCTGCAGACTTGGGTTCATTGCTTGATGGTGTGTGTGTGTGTGTGTGTGTGTGTGTGTGTGAAACCCATCAGGCTGCTTCAAACAACATTTTACACGAATCAACTAGCGATTCTCACAACAATTCTAGAAGGCAAATGTTATACTCCCAGTCTCACTCTCCAGATTAAGAATCCAAGACTTCTAGAATTTTTCCCCTAAGTGATAAGAGATTTCGGCCCAAGTAGCTTGACATCACAGCTTATTTTTAGCATATTGTGTTGGTAGAAGGCCAGACAGTCACTTGTTTTGACTTCGCCTGGCAGATGGTCCCTGCGGCTGCTATTGTAGGATGAAAGCTACCCTAGACGATATGTAATCTGATGGGTGAGGCTGTGTGCCAACCAAGCTGTGGGTGGACCCAGGGTCCTGCTTCTTGGGAACCCGGAGTTCACAGGGATGGGAAACGTTGTGTTCAGAGATCCCTCGTCTGCAGTCCTGGCATCTGGGCTGGACATCAGACTTGCTTCTCTGTGACTTAGACCCTCAGGGCAAGAGAGGGCTACCATTCTTCCTGATATGATCTCACAGAGCAAGCTGTTTTGATAATCTTGGATTTTAGGGAACAGTGTTTCTTGGTGAGTAAAAAAGGTGGTCATCACCCAAATAAGGGCACTGTTGTGACTAGACAGTGGGAGCTTGTTTTGGGGAGGGACAGTGTTTCCTGCTGACCTCACAAGTGCCTTCCCTGGATCTGTTACCGCAGCCTGATGAAGGAAGGGCACATTTTAGCTTTCTCGGTCTGAGCTACTTTGTGCTTCTCGAGGAATTCACCAGCAGCAAACTTGAGAGCACACGTTAGGGGTTTCGAACAATTGTGGGACAGTTCTGATTGAGAAGAGGACATCCATCTGACTATAAAGATCCGTTTTCTTTTGTGGGCTTTTTATCTTTTTCTTTCCTTTAAATATTATTTTTCTCACCAGGGCTGGAGCAGAGACTAGCTTTCTTGCTTCCTCTGAAGGTCCTCTCACCTCTCTCTGACTCCATCCTGGCTGAGAAGACAGTGATTATCCTGGATGACCGCGTCACCATCGCAGACCTGGGCGTGCAGCTGGTGGCAGGCTTGTCCCTTTCTTTGCAGCCTCACAGGGTGGACAGAAGAGCCATCGTCTCAACAGCGGTGGCCCAGGACATCCTTCAAGCCCCACGGCAGGTAAGAGTCCAGGGTGCTGTGTCCCTGGTCCACTGAGCCTCCTTCTTTGTCCCTCACATCCTGCAAAGGGGTCAGTAGAGCACTCATAACCGGGGCTGTGATTCTCAAAGCTTCTTCCTGCTTTCTAGCCAGAGTCTGACTCATCTCTGAGAAACGTGCTCCATTGCTTGGATAAATTTTGCTCTTCTATGCTTTGATACACCGACCACGCGTCCATATGCCATTTTGCAGTGGGTTATCTGCTAGAGGAAGGAAGAGTACTGCTAGACCAAAGGATTACAGGTTTCCACTTTTCTAACATAAATAATATTTGACACTTGGAAATTCTATTTCAGCTACGTAAGCAACTAGACCTAATAGGCACCAGGTGTCTGTTGGTGTGTATTAGGTATGGGCAACTTCAAACCTCTGCTCCATTTTTAAATTTGCAGCAAATCCGTTCCGATTAGACCAAGGTCATTGTGTCCTCCAAGCACTCCAATCCCCATCCTGCATCTTTTCTCAGCTACCTCAGAGGAGTACAGCTTTCCCTTCAAGAACGCTTGAAGGGGTACCATCTCGAGCTGCAGCCTGATTAGCGGCTCCTAAAATTGATTCAGATGCGTCATGTGATCTTGCAAGCTCTTTCTGGAAAATTCAAAGTCAAATTCTGTTATAGGACGTTCGGTAAGTTAATCTCCATAGCACGGCGTTCATTGAAATATGTAACCTCACACTAGTGGGGTTACAGTGCACTTTTGATGCCAGTTTAACTTATGATGGCAACTGATCCAGATTTTAAAATATGGGGGTTCATTTTACTCAGCCTGTGTATTGAAAACGTATTTTACTGGAAACCCCATTTGTGTACCTGCTTACACATCGGAAGGAAATGAATGATAACATAACGCTTTAGGCTTATTTTTCTTTGTCCCTAGCATTTGTTCAGTGGTGGTTCAGTGACACCCTTAGACATTTATGATCCAAAGGATTTTTCTGTTTCTGTCTCATCATTGGATGAAATGGTGGTGTCTGTCCAGGCAAACCTTTAGCCCAAATGGCCGGTTGTCATTGCAGAGGGTGAGGGGCAAGGGCCCTTGATTAAGTTAGAAATGATGATTAGTGAGCCTTGTCAGAAGACCAAAAGGAAGAGTGTCCTTGCCGTGGGCAAAGGCAACGTCAAGGTCAAATTTGAACCAAACACCGATGAGCACCAAGGAGGTACCAATGATATCGAGGGCATCAGCCGGGAATACAAAGACCACCTCGGGAGTTCCATACAGCGTGAAGGAAACCAGGAGAGAGTGGTTCAGGGGTGGTTCCAACATGGCGCCTCCGTTGGCCAAGTGGAAAGTTCCAACAAAAGCACAACCCCTCAGTCTCCATGGGGAGAAAAGAGAAGAAGTTAATCAAGGGCGGTGGCCCAGACTCCTTCACAAGCTTCCCCGCTCAAGGGAAGTTGCCGGAACCCAATAATCCCAGTGACCTAACGGTGACCTCTAGGGGGCTAACAGACTTGGAGATCGGCATGTACGCTCTGCTCTGCGTCTTCTGCCTGGCCATCCTGGTCTTCCTAATCAACTGTGTGGCGTTCGCTTGGAAATACAGACACAAAAGATTTGCTGTGAGCGAGCAAGGCAACATCCCCCATTCCCATGACTGGGTCTGGCTCGGGAATGACGTGGAGCTCCTGGAGAACCCTGTGGACATCACTCTGTCGTTGGAGGAGTGCACCACCATGATAGACAGGGGGCTGCAGTCTGAAAGATGACTGAATTCAGGCGCCCTATTTGTGGTGAGCACTGCCCTGGCTTTGGCCTGTTGGGCTGCTAGGCAGAGGGCTGGGACTGAGGTGTGGCTGGTTGCTAGAGACGTGCACTGTGCAAGACTGAGTGAGCACCTCCCTAACGTCTGTGCCCTGGGCTCCTCAGTCCCCTCACTGTGGTTCCCGTCTTGCATGTGCAACGGCAGCTAATTTCTTTAGCTTCTGGAATTCTTTGGAGACATGACTAGGGAAACAAATTTAGTCTTTTCTTCAAGATCTGTTTGATTGGCATGTACCTTTTATGTGCTGGGATTTGTCATGCCCTGTCATTTACTGTGTGTCTGTGCTCAATGCGTTTTCTTGTCCTCACTTCAGCGTTTAGTGACAGAACCTAAGTTCTCATCCATACTTTATCTGTCTTAGTTCTACTTATTGAAATATATCTGAATTGGACAGGAAGTTTTATTTAATATATGAGTGTCGATACAGAGTGCTATGTAGTAATAACAAATAATTTTTATACGAAACTTTTTTTTACGTGAACATTTGGGGAAATGGTGAGAACCATAACCATGTTTATTTTTTCCCCGGTAGTTGTCACGTCATGGGGAACTGATGGAGTTAACTTCGGGGGCACAATCTCTCAATTGAACTCTTTTTAGCTATATTTATGTAAGTGTTGTATGAGCATCATTTTTTTTTTCACATCTAAAAATAGTGTTGATATTCACAGAAAGGAAATTGCCTAGGAAACAGCTGCAGATGAGGCTTGCCATATGCCTGAAGAAAAGTAAAAAGAAATAAATAGAATGATATTTCCATCTAACCGCATGTAGACATCCATCCATAGGATGACCAGTAAAATGTTCACAACTGCTTTTCTGGCAGAGACAGAACGTTCACACAATGTGCAGTGAGGGACACACACACACACACACACACACACACACACTCTCATAGAAAATGGCTATGCCAACACCAACAAACCATTAGGAAGACACAGAGAATGTAAATCAAAGTGGCAAGGAAGAAAGAAATTGCACGTTACACAACTCTTTTATAACATAAAATATAAAATGTGGCTGGACGAACCACAGAAACGGTTGAAAGCAAAGCAAGAATCGAGGGTAGGCGGACTTAATACAATTTTCATTGATAAAGATAGAATAGCTACTAAAACAGATATTGGGCTAGAATGGTTCATCATAGATAGCCTCTACTGAGCCATTTCATCTCGAAGAAATAAGTTTTTTTGAAGGTAAAATAAAAACTTTCATTTCTCTTATTCTTAATTGAGCAAACAGAAACAGTTTGTTCAAAATAATAGTAGCAACAATGTCTTCCCTTATGTATGCTTATGTAAGTGCTATGAATAATTCCAGTGACACAAGGGATAGGAGCAGGGAATTACAATTTTTTTTCTTCTTTTATTTTTAAGCTGAATTTGTAATGTGTTACTTCTTTAAAAGAGACAGATCTTAGGTAACAATGGCGATGCTAACATCTTAAACTTCTGTGGCCTGGGTGTTGGTATCTCATTATTATGCTATAACTTGAAAATTTTTTCATAATACACACTTCAATATGGAATATAGCGCTCAGCACAGCACCCAGCCTCCAGTGACGCCTCCAAAAATGTTCCCTGTCATCATCATTCTGACACTGTCATTCGATGCGACACTCTTTCCTTGACTATGATTCTCCCTCCTGATTTTGTGCTCGGATCCATGTGGGGATGTCTTATCCTATTTGGCTCAGTTTATGGAACCTTCCATGCTCACGGCTAGCTCAATGGCACCCCCAGGGCAGAACTCACATGTCTTAGATCAGGTCTGAGAAACGGAACTAGAAGAAGCTGGTTTGGAAGATCCCGCGCAGAAAACTGGGGCAGCTCCTGGATTCCACGCGGTTGGTGAACACAGCTGTCTTCTTACTCTCGCATGTCCATGGGGGAACACCCCAGCCAGCATCTGCTGCGTCCTCACTGCACCTCTTGCCACGTGTTTATGGACAGGACGCAGATCAGTGGTGAGGCGGGTCTGTCCCCAGGAGCTGGAGCCTTGCGTCCCGTGGGTGTTCTACGTGGCTTGAGAAGTGAGGCTCGCAAAGCTTGTTTTTCTTTTTCCCAGCTTGATTGGAGAATGAAGCCAGGAGACCCAAGTCATTGGATATCAAAATAAAATGCTGCAGGGACTACATAGAACCAAGTCCTCCTATCAGCGTCTGTAAGGCGTGACCCTGAACGTGGGAGCGTGGCAGCTTCGGGGAAAAAGCAAAAATGAAACCAGACTGATTTACCCCTGAGTTTTTGCTAGGGAAGAGAGGGAAACTTATATTACCTTTCCGAAACCACTACCTGTGACTTCTGCTGCCCTTGGCCGAGTGGCTCCCCATGAGATTTTGTTAGAGGAATCAGCAGAGATGGTGTCAGTCTGCTCTGGCCAGGACCGCTGTTAGAGGCCTGTGTCATGGACAAGCTCAAAGGTGTGTATTCACTGGACACCTCGCCCACCCAGACCTGGACACTGTGGTGCATTTCAAAGCCCTGGACCCTTTGCAGGACCCGTCATATTCATTATTCCCACAGTTATAAAGGAAATGGGCGTTTTTTAATAAAATATCTAGAAAACGCATGCATATGTAAAAAAATAAATCTAAATGGCCAGAAATAACCACTCATCACAATCACGACAAAAATAACCACCACCAATCACAGCCACAACAAAAAGTTATTTTAAAAGATGGCTGTGACTGGTAGAAAGAGCACTTTTTTCGCCACGACACAATTCTGTGGCTTCCCTCAGCATTCAGTGGAAAAGTGGCTCCGTGTTGTAGAGAGAAGAACGTGGTAGCTCAAGCGTTACTATTCCCGCGAAGCTTGCTGCTTCTCGAAGTTACTTTCAATGTTATCTCCATGTGGATACTTGACATTTGGCCTAGGCCTCCTGGGGATTCATTTCAGAAACAGAAACATCTAAATTCAATTACAGGACGCTCCTACACAGTCTGCCGGGCATCTCCCCTGGAAAGGGGGGCTCTGTGGAGATTGAGGGGTGGGGCGGGCAAGGACATGACCCTGGTGATGAGGTCTGATTAAAGCAGCCTGAGGGCCGGCCAAGTGGCACGTTGGTTAAGAGCTGGCTTGGGACGCCAGAGGGCCCCGGTTCAGATCCCACATATGAGGGCCAGTGACACTGCCCTCTACAGCTAAGATGCTGAACAACAGCTCAACCTGGAGCTGGGCTGCTGTGAGTCACCGGTGACGGCATGGGCTGCAGCCCCTGTGGCAGTGGGTTTGCCATGGGCTACCGTGTGTAGCCAGCTGCCGCAGTGAGTGGCAGTTCAGAAGCTGGCGACTGATCTGCCTCGCCTGGGAAGAGCGCAATGATGGTGCCAACTTGGGCCAGTGAAGCAACATCCTCCACAACTAGACTGAAGAACAAAACGACAGCAACTTGTCTGTTCCCTTTCCCCCAATTCTCTAGCACTGTTCCCTTCCCCCCCCAATACCCCAATAAAAATCTTTAAAAAAAAAAAAAAGCAGCCTGAAAACACCACCGTTCCCGTGACACGCATGCTCGGCTTGGCGCAGGACACAAACTCAGAGCACTCGATGTGGCCGAGGTCCTTATCAGAGCCGGAGAGCAGGCCGCCTCCCTCAAGAGGGTTTGGAAAGAGAGATGACAGAGTCACAGGGGGCTGGGTCCCTTTTCCAACCCCCACTTCGCGCGCGCGTGTGTGTGCGCACACGATATTTATCGAGAAGCAAAAGAATCAACCTTTTAGTGTGAATCAACCAGGACGCTAAATTTTCTGAGCTTTGGCGCTGACCCGCATCAACTTAACAAAATCCCGCTAGCATCACATCTGCTCTGAAAGAGTCTTGCTGTTGAGGGACAGTCACCCTCGTTTGTCATCAGCATACCAGGCACTGCATCCTGGAAAACACATGACAATGCTCCAAAGTGACCCTGATTCATCGTCCTGAAATGCAGCTCCCTGGGGGTCACATGACATTGACCTGAACCCAGCACAATCTTAGTGGGTGAGAGTCACATTGTTGGTCTGAAAAAACTAGTTCCATCCAAACTGTGGTTCGGGAGGGTCCCTGCTCTACTCCAGGATGGCATGGCTAAGGGTGCTCACCGGTCACTGTCACCCACACTCAGTCTGGGGGTGCTGTGAGGTGCAGAAGGCACAGACGCTTAATAACAATGTTCGCGAATGTGAGGTGTTGGTCCCAGGGTCTAGAGACACAGCACAGGGGTGGAGAAGCAGTGGCCCCAAGAAAGAAGTGGAGTCTGAATCCACAGGCGGAGTGAGTTGGGGAAAAGCAAGAAAAGACTTGACATTTTCCTTGGGAATAAAGAGCACCTAGCAACCCCCAGAAAACGCCAGGGACGGGGACGCAGAGAGAAGCTGAAATTGTCTTGCTTTTATTTTGCAAACAGGAAGGATGAGGGCCCCAGACTGCCGTCATCCTTAAGTCAAGCCAGACCATTTGGGAAACGGAGAACATGGAAGCAGGCAGCATTATGCATTATTCGTTCCTCGGCCACATCAGTAGCCTATTTTGACAATATTAGGTGACTTCAAAGGCCTGCCTCGGTAGAACAGCAAAACTGGCTTTTCCCTCCTGTTCAGCAGCCTCCATTCTCCACTCACTTAGTGTAAATGCAGCATAAGCACCTTCTGAACTCAACAGCCATCTCCCAAATTAAAATTATACCTGACTAATGGAACCCATTTTCTCTGTTTTACAAAGAGCACTCCTTGAAAAGGGGTGGTGGAAAGTTATGCTGAGATATTGACTACAGAGCTTTATGCGTGCCATGCAGACAAATTAATGAAGCACTACAAGGCACGTTGGAGCAAGTGCATCTTGAAGTGAAAACATGTCGAGTGTAGGTTTTAATGTACAGCATCCTACTCTGAAATCTTGAACGTAAAGGAAAACAGGCGTTTGCAGAGAATGAGGTGACACACGCTGAATTTTAACACCTGGCCCATGGTGGACGGCGCTCCTGGCGCTGTCTTGTCTCCCTCTCTGTATTCCTTTCCTGGATTTACATCTGAAATGAAATGACTTCATTTTCCAGCATCACGATAACCACAGGGTATCAGGTACCGAAACATGAACGTAAAGATTTACACGTTCTTCCAGTCGCCCCCAATCTTTCACACACACACACACACACACACACACACACACACACACACACACACACACACATAGGCCACTCACAGGTACACTTGGGACAATTTAGGGCTGAGAAGAACGCGTCAGTGCAAAGCAGCTGTCTGGTCTGGTCCACTGCGCGTGCTGGTTCCCACACCAAGTTCCCTGCGTTCTCCAGGTTTCTCTGCAGGGCTGTATGCACCCCCAGCCCCCCAGGTTTGGGCAAATAGGAGTGACCACACCGATTGCACGCAGGTTTTCTGAGGCCCATAAACTGGAACTGCACACCTCCTTATGC